GCTGAGTGCAAGATAGAGCCCATTGTCTTAAACAGCACCGCGTCTGTATAATAATATATCATTTCTTCAACATACAAATTCACTAAATACTGAAAACATTGATTCTTTTGGAATTTGTGGTTTAAAAATGATCAGATTTAACAGATTTATTTTGTAAATACTGAGTATGAATATACTATATATATATATATATATATATATATATATAGTGTGTATTCCTGACCTTGGAAATAGTAGTTTGAAGAAGAATCTTTACTTAAGGTCCACTGGGGGACAGGGGTTCCCAAACTTTTTCATGTCAAGGACCCCCACAATAGATGCACATTAGACCACATACCCCCAATTGGAGAGGGTTGTCTATATCTTTTTTATCAATCAATGAGCAAACTAGGATCCCTAGAAATTACTAAACCCACCCAAAAAACACAATCATTATGTCCTTTCTTGTTGTACATCCAAAAATACTCCTCCTTTTGCTGGGGACCCACCCAAGGACCCCTGTTGGTCACTGGACCCCGGTTTGAAAACCACTGCAATAGAAAATTTGGTCTGGTGATGAAGACTGTTTGGTAAAAGTGAAACCTCCAAAATAGCAGTGCAAGTTGAGACTTGAGTTAAGATATGATACTGACATTGATGCTGACATCAGTGTTGAAAGGTTTGGTATAATACTGTTGGAAACGCTTATTAACCACTATCCTGGACAAATGATAGACTGACTCCAAAGACACCAAAGGAAGGAAGGGAGGAAGGAGAGAAGAGCCATTCATTTGTCTGCCTTCACTAAAACAGATTTACATCAGGTTAGGATAAAAGTAAGCAGCTTCCATAATTCATCAAAAGCAAGAGAGCTTTTGTCAGACAGCTGTAACAATGTAAGCTGCTGAGACTCTGAATAAAGGGCAGAACACAGAGGAAAACTCCTTCTCTCGTCAAAGTTGTGTCGGCTGAGAGTTGCTCCAGCTGGCTGCTGTGGTTCTGAAGGAGAATAAAGGAGTGTCTGTTTGGATCCATATCAGTCCTCTTTTGGGAAGACATTAGAAACCAAAGTAATCTGTATGTACACTACTGCTCAAAAGCCACAAAAGCTTGATTCTGTACAGTCAGATGGCTTGTCCATGGAGAACAAAATGCTGTACAACAATACTGACAATGTATACCTCTAATTAATACATCTATACCTCCTCTAATGCTTGCAGTCTTCTGCAAGATCTGAAAATTAGCCAACACTATAAACTCTCTGTGCAGCAAAGTAAAGAAGAAACTGGAAGCTTCGTATTAATATTTGTGCAGATTTAAAGAATAACAGGTTCCTGTATAACAAGCTGGAATAAACATGCGTGTTGCTAAGATATTCTTAAAGCGAAACAAATTGACAATAAATTGAAATCTAAAAGGGATTGTGTGAAATTCAGACTTCAACTCTTGATATGACACACATGGTAAATTACCTCTATTAGTACCTTCCAATTTTTCCAACTGCACCCCATTCCTGGGCCAATGGGAAGTGTTTCCACAGGAAGCAATAATGGCAAGTCTATCCAACAATGGATACTGAAGTCCTCAAGGAACGGCTGAAGTTAGCAGAGCCTTACAAGCCCATCATTACATATCCAGCTTTGAAATACAGACATCAAAGAATCCAGTATTAGGACTCATGCACTGCCTCCTACAGGGCTCCCTGAGGTATCTCCAGACTGAATTCAAAGTGAATTTTAGTTTACCTACAAAATCAATGAAAAGTGAGTTGCGCAAGTTGGCTCACATACACATGAATTCCTTCTGGGCCACTGGTTCTCAAACTATGGTTTATGTTCTACTGGTGGATATGCAAGCTCCCTCTATTGGTACACGGAGAAATCTGTGAAATACCTCATTTATTTCATTTTTTAAGTATTTCACAGATTCATGCACCAAGGAGGCTGAGTCCTTGTTGCAGCAGCCCTGGGTTCGAGTGTGCAGCATGTCACCCTCCTTTCTCTCCCCCTTCCTGTCACTCTCCAGCTGTCACTATCTATTAAAGGCAAGGCAAAAACAAAAGTATGAAATTGTTGGAGCTGAAGTGTCGCCTTTCCTGTATTTTTTCCCCCAGTATCTGCTACGTAGCCATGTTCCTGCATGAAGTACACACATACATCCATGATTAGTTTCACCTTGTGGTGTATGAGAGTTGTGTGGAAGAGTTTAAAGGTCCAGTGTGTAACATTTAGGAGGATCTATTGTCAGTAATGGAATATAATATTCATAGGTATGTTTTCATTAGATCACCTGAATATAAGAATCATTGTGTTTTTGTTCTATCTTCCATGGAGTCCACCATGTTGAACCACCATGTTTCTACAGTAGCCAAGAAGGACAAACCAAACATCTTCCACATTATTTCACAACAACCTACACAGTTTCTCCTACACACTTCACAGCACGTTGTTATTCCCAAGTTGTTAAATACACATTTAATAGTCTGCTACTTCACCGCTAGATGCCTAAATCCCACAACAACCTGCTCCTTTAAGTGCCAGTTCTAGTGCCAACCCCTTTTGTAGTGGCTGACAGCAGTCAACAGTAAAGAATCATGTTAAGAATAAACCTGCCTCCAGTGTGAACTGCGTGACTAACTGAATAGGATCGGCCTATGCTGCTGTATTGTAACATTGTTCATAATGGTGTTACACTGATAGCCTAATGTTTTCTCAAGTGGTAAGCGGTGTAAAACGTTTTAGAAACTATTCTAGGCAGTGTAAAATATGGTGAAACCAATTCATGTGACTTTAAACATACAGAGACGAGGAAAAAGCAGAGAGAATGGAGGAAAATAAGACACTGTGTTGAAGGGACAGCTCAGACTTTGATCTCAGCAAGCCTCACTCCACACACACACACACACACCACAGCACACCACACACACAGTTGGTGTGTACATAAAATAACAGCTGGTTAGCTACAGCTAACATCTGTACGGTTTTGTACACTGTACTGTACTGTACTGTACAACGTGAGGCAAAAAGGCCTCTACTTTAGGAGGTGTTGACTTTTATAAAAAATATAAGAAATTGCTGGATTGGGCTGCATTTTCTGTTTTCTCTATAGATACAATATGTACAGACAAAAATATGTACAATCAGGTTCTATCTATAAAATTCTAATTTTGTATGCCTACAATAATCGTGTGACTTTGTCTACTATGTCACATGTCCACTGTACAATATTTGTTTTCCTGTATTCACATGGGTCACATTTTTCTTTTCATGCTTTGCTTTAGTTTAGTAAAATTATAGTATTTGGCAAAACACGTTTCACCTCAACATAATAGGGTATTAAAATGTAGATATTATTAGTTGTCCCATTAATTCTTGTTCATACACTTATTTATATTCTTATTTATCTTGTTTAATCCAGCAGTAGTATGTCCTTTGACTTAGGTTGTGTATACTGTGGTCAGTAAGTACTGCCCACTTCTAAGCTTCTCACTGGCACCCAAGTGTTTAGTGGTGTATCATGACAAAGCACAAGGACAAAGATAAGTCTGAGTCATTTAGTATTTATGCATGTTTAAATCAGTTCACATAAAAGTATAAAATGTGTGTATGAAATCTTGAACGTGCTGCAGCCTGTTGGGAGTAAATTTACACTCTGGCCACTGCATGGCTTTCAAGTAATACATTAATCACTCCAACAGTGAACGCTTTAATGCAATTATTGCTCCCTGGGCACAGTCATTAAGAACATTCATTTCAAAGCTGTCTCCCCTCTCTTTAGGATACACCAGTTTTCACAGTTACACAAACACCGTTGACAGCCACTGTTCTTTTCACCTTTTAACACACAACATCAAAGTAATGGGAATATTTACATCTAGTGTTAACTTTTCCACCATTTATCATCTGACAAAAGCTCACAGTGTGAGGATAATTATGGGTGAACAGAGATTTCAGTGTAGGAACTCACCGTTTGTAACTCTGTATGTGCTACGCTTTCTTGTGGTGTACCACAAGGTTCTGGGCCCTTATTGTTTCTCCTTGTAGTTCTTGTTTTCATCGCTGCTGAGCCCAAGATTATATACTGTGCCTTTCATTGCCTAAATTCTATCAAGTAGTTGTAGTATTAGTTATTTTTATTTTTTTTTGGCTTAAAAGAGTGCTCCACTGACTAAGCATTGCACTCCTATTACATTGTCAGACTTGCAACAGAAAAAAAGAATCAGAAACTGATCCACCAGAACCAAAGGTATCCTTGTCAAAACCTGGCACCTGCATTACCCATGATGCAAATCAACAGCAGACAGTTCAGTCAGAAATTTGATTATGCTCACTTCTTCCACTGCCCTAGACCAACAAAAACTAATGCGTCCATCACTTGAGGCAATTTATCAATTGTTGTGCTCTGGAGCCACAAAAAGGCTTAATACATACTATAAACACACCTGTAAGCAGACTTTAAGGTGTAAAATTGGTGGAGTTCACCTTTAAAGCGAGACTATGGAACTTTTAGTCACTTTTAGTCAAGTTCACTGGATGTTCACTTCTTGTGATAAACTTATTTGGTGTAACATTAGCACAGTTAAAGATGGGTCATAAAGTCAGCTAACTGACTCACTTATGTCAGTTAGATGGCAGTATTTAAAGTTTGTTGGCCAGCATGTGCCACTGAACAAGTAAAGCTATAGCAGCAAAACCACTGAATATACTGAATTGAGTAAAGATGTGTTTTTTTGCTTATGAATTTATCTTTTGGTTTGTTATAGCCAAAATCCACCGGCCATGGCCACGACAGCTACAGCAGAAGGGCCGCATCTGGTGTATTATTGACGGAAGTCGTGACCCCTTGCGTCAAGAAGCACAGAGCATTTTGCATAGGCAGGTCAATTTTCAAAATAAAATACTGCATGCAGGATTTAATAATACATCAACATTGTGGCACCAGGCCAGAAGTTGATCAGTCAGAGGAAATTTGACACCATGGACATCGAGCAGTACATCTTGGAAGTGGAGAAACACACTGTTCTGTACCCTTTTTAAGGACAAAATACACAAGTCAACAATGTTGGGAAGGCAAGAAGCTCCAGTTTCATAGAGGCTTGCCCAGTGGAATATTAGTGGAAGAAGGAGAATGTGTTATGTCTGTGACTCTTTGCCTCAGCAGGACAGTAGGAGTCCCGATACCAGGGTCCTGACCAAGTAAAAGGTCGAACGCCACACTCTTTTGATTTTACACTGACTCCTCATTCAATTCACTCCGATTGAATTTCTCACTACACATTTAAAACTAAACGTGACTATGCCTTTGAGAGTGAATTGACTCCCACTGGATCTCAGATGTATATAAACTGGACAACTTTAAAAAACAACTCAAGCTTTTATTTTTATGACAAATTAGCTGATGAGTGAGGCGGGCTATTGCTACAATAGGAATGTGTGTGTGTGTCTTACCGTCATTAATGATAGCAGTCAGCATGCTGCCCTTTTTCTTGCTGGCATGTCGGTCGTAGGACAAACACTGCAGGTCTCTGAAGCTGGGTGCCCCCTTGGGACAGGGAGGACCTTCACAGGCCTTGTGCTCCACACTGGCCTTCTGACAGTGTCTCCCACCAGGACCAGGCCTAAACATACACACACACACACACACACACACACACACACACCGTATGAACACTCAGTTTAGTGTTGTAAGTATAGGTATCTAACAAGATGTATTGACAGACTTTTTTTGACCAGGTATGATCATGACAGACTCCTAAGCTGAATTATTTTAAACATTATTGAAAATAATTCTATACTTTCATTTATTCTTGTATGTAAGATCTGAATGTCACATTTTAGAATTTCTAAATTTAGTTGGAAGGCTTTTCAGTAAGGTGCCTCTGGGCAGCCTTGCACTAAGCTACTTTAAGATGGAGGAAATGCATGCTGTGGTGTGCACACATGCATTAAAGTAAATAGGCTGAAAATTACTCAACAAAGATACACAAGAGATCTAATACCTCACAGTGTATGTGTGCAGTTTGATTTAAAGATAATCAGTGTGTCAAAGTGTATGGGTATAGTCATAGGACAGTTTTTAAAAAACATTTTTATTTTACACTCTGTGGATATCTGCACACAATTTCTTTTTTACAACGTCATAAATCATCTGTCATTTGTACAGTCACTGACTGTGGATACTCTGTCCAAGGTGCAATTTCTCTCTCTCAGACAGACAGACAGACAGACAGACAGACAGACAGACAGACAGACAGGTGACATACGGAGGGTTGTCACATTTCCTCTGTCTGAACTGGACTCCAGTACCGCAGGTCCTGCTGCACATGCTCCACTGGCTCCATGGACTCCAGTCTCCGTCCACATGCTGAGGGATGGGAGTCTTACTGACACACTCGCCTGCCCTGCACCACTGACACACACACACGCACAGATTAAAATGATTTCAAATACACTTCATATTGACTGTAACCTTTATTTAGGCAACCGTTATTTTCTACCAGAAGCTGTTGCTTGAGAGGCGAAGATCTGAGTATTTGTGCATGGAAGCTGGAGTGAGACAGTCCTACCTTGTCTGCTCCACACTCTGTTCCATCCAGAGGAGGATCCAGTTTTGTCTTGCAGGACGCATCTCCCTCTACCAAACACCACAGGCCAGCACACATCAGGTGCTGACACACACAGAAATACAGGAGATACCATAAGTTATCACCAAAATGTCAATATTCACATTCAGCATTACATTAATTTACTGTTGACTTTAGTACAATTATGTTAATGTTGTACCATTAGTACAACAACAGCTGAGTTTGCATTAACAGCAAACAGCGTGCTAATACGACTGTTTGTAAGCCTGTTCCAAAAAAAGCCTGGTTTTCTCAGCAGTGAAGGTAAATAAAGGCTCTGGACGCTATTGGAGAATGTATGGCATGTCAGGTTTTGAATGAGTAAACCCTGAGGTAGCATAATAAATATATACAGGCCTGATGGAGCAACCACAGAGGTCGGGACAGTTCTTTTTAGTATTAATATTACTTTTAAGTTTCCCCAACCAAATGATAGGCTTAAAGCTCAGGATGCTTGTGCTTCCTTTGCTAAGGTTATGTATTAAGTCACAACCAGGTGTGTTCACGCTGCTTAATATCAGGCTTCAGTCACAGAGGTCCTACCGCTGGAATCTCAAGCATTTTTACAACAAAAAATTGAGGAAAACACAAAATGCAAATCAACATTTGTTTACGTCGCCTCAGCTCATCATGCATCTACTTGCTGCTGTATACATACTGTACAATCATATTTACAATGACCTGCATTCTTGTAAAACTTCTAATTCATTACTTTCCCTTTCTGCTTCTGCTGTTCATCCAGTGTTTTGTCCAGGCCACAGCCGTCACATGTAGGGATAGAAAACGAGAACTGGTTCCAAATTGTCTGATCCATCAGAATCGTTCACCTCAGAGTTGATCAATTCCTTTTATCAATACCAACATGTTTTATCTGACAGTTGCTCATTGCAAAACA